TTTTATTCCACTTCCCCATGGAATGATATGATTGAGGTGTATAAATGGAAGACAGGAATAAATAAAGGGGATGTAAATAGTGTGCTGAAAATATCTAGCCTAGACAGGACTCGCAGCAATGGTTTTAAGTTGGAAAAATTCAGATTCAGGAAGGATATAGGAAAGTACTGGTTTGGTAATAGATTTGTGGATGAGTGGAACAAACTCCCGAGTACAGTTATAGAGGCCAGAACGTTGTGTAGCTTTAAAAATAGGTTGGATAAATACATGAGTGGATGTGGGTGGGTGTGAGTTGGGCCTGATAGCTTGTGCTATCAGGTCAGTTGCCGTGTTCCTCCCTTAAGTCAATGTGACCTGACCTGACTAGGTTGGGTGCATTGGCTTAAGCCGGTAGGAGACTTGGACCTGCCTCGCATGGGCCAGTAGGCCTTCTGCAGTGTTCCTTCGTTCTTATGTTCTTATGTTTTTGTGTAACAGTGAAAAATAAAGCCAAGGCAAAGCATGATCATCAAATGTCACTCCACGAGTGTCACTCCACTGCCAGTGGGGTGACGCTTATCTTACACCATGCGTCAAGGAGTTTTATATATACTCCAGCATTTCTAAAACTTTGCTGGAACCTGGCAAAAAAGGCAAAAATCATTTCTTATTTATAAATACATTTTTCTTACCTGGAGTTTACCTGGAGAGTTCCAGGGGTCAACGCCCCCACAGCCCAGTCTGTGACCAGGCCTCCTGGTGGATCAGAGCCTGATCCACCAGGCTGTTACTGCTGGCTGCATGCAATCCAACGTACGAGCCACAGCCCGGCTGGTCAGGTACCGACTTTAGGTGCTTGTCCAGTGCCTGCTTGAAGACAGCCAGGGGTCTATTGGTAATCCCCTTTATGTATGCTGGGAGGCAGTTGAACAGTCTCAGGCCCCTGACACTTATTGTATTGTCTTTTAACGTGCTAGTGACACCCCTGCTTTTCATTGGGGGGATGTTGCATTGTCTGCAGAGTCTTTTGCTTTCGTTGCGAGTGATTTTCATGTGCAAGTTCGGTACTAGTCCCTCTAGGATTTTCCAGGTGTATATAATCATGTATCTCTCCCACCTGCATTCCAGGGAGTACAGGTTCAGAAACTTCAAGCGCTCCCAGTAACTGAGGTGTTTTATCTCCGTTATGCACGCCGTGAAGGTTCTCTGTACATTTTCTAGGTCAGCAATTTCACCTGCCTTGAAAGGTGTATTTAAAAACCTGTAACAAAAAAATTAGGGTGGTTTTTTGGGGGGCTGGAACAGATTACTGGCATTTCAATTAATTTCACTGAGGAAAATTGATTTGATATACGAGCAAATGAGTTACGAGCTGGGTCAAAGAACGAATTAAACTCGTATGTCAAGGTACCACTGTAGTACATTTAGTCATTAAATTAAACCACAATATGAAGTTCAATAAAGAGAAATTTCAATTACTCCAATATGGAAAACTCTAGGAAATTAAAAGTGCACCAGAGTATAAAACAACTTCCAAACTTCCAATCACACAATAAAGCTAAAAACTAATGTGAAGGTCCTGGCAGTGATAATGTCAAAGGATCTCACTTACAAAGATCACAACAATGTATCTACCACATCTGCTAGGAAAACAATAGGATGGATAATGAGAACCTTCAAAACTAGGGATGCCAAGCCCATGATGATTCTCTTCAAATCCCTCGTTCTCGGTTCGTACGTCGATTTGCACGCGGCCAACAGTAACAGCCTGGTTGATTGGGCTTTGATCCACCGCAAGGCCTGGTCTCAGACTGTGCCATTGGCCATTGATCCCTGAAACCTCCAGGTATGCCTCTCATGTCTTAAAAGAGGAATTTTTAAAATCGGGTCTGAGGAAATCTAGAGTTCCATAAAAGCCTATTTGTGTTCCATGAGAATTTTCATAATTTAGAAAGCCAACATGGTTTATAATCTGTTTTATTTTTTAATGAAATAGTGACTGGCAACAAGTAAAAATGCCTGGAATGAGGATCTTTAAGATACATACACATGATTTAATATTAATGACGAGATATCCAAGATGTTAGAATAAGATACAAGCACATCTCAACATTCACTGGTGAATTTATCACTCCTAATCAGGATTAATGAAGCCATCAGTGGTAAAACGTTCACAACTCTAGAGATATCAGGTAACTCTTTCAAAATCTGATATGAACAATCTCAACACAGTTACAACAAGAACCTGCAATTTTGTGAAAATACACAGTTGATGACCAAACACTACTTGCTCTGATTTATCAGGTTAGGCTTTCAGTGGTTGTAGGTTCAACTCTTGTGGTTCACGAATGTTATAACCGTGTTACTGTTAATAAATGCATTTTCAATGTATCGTGTCTTTCATTAAATGTAATTAAAGAAACAATTTTTTGCAATGATCTTTATGGACTATGGTATAAGAGCGGTAAAAAGATAAATGTGATGCAACTTCTTAATATTTTCTACACTTAATTATGATTGTTTTAAAACTAAAGTGACCTATAATAATAATAAAAGGTATTTTATAAAGATATATAAAGTGCCATCTACCATGCTAATCCAAGAGTTATTCATGCTTTTAGCAATGGAGTGAACTCTACCACTGTATCAATTTGCAAGGATATAGCAATGGATATTTTCTACCACATGCCAACTACATCCCCGGGAACACTTGTGATAGCGGAATATCGAGAACGATCTCACAACTTATAACAACATGATGTACTTCTATATTTTTATCTCACCTTTGAATTACACATTATCTTGGGTAAAAATAAATAAATCAGTAGGTTCCTGTATGTCACTCACACGTCACTGTCACTCACATTACTATCCCTAACACGTCACTGTCACTCACTGTCATTCACACGTCAATGACTCACTGTCATTCACACGTCAATGACTCACTGTCATTTACACGTCACTGTTACTCACACATCACTGTCACTAATACGACAGTCATTAAAATGTCATTGTCACTAACAGGTCACTGTCACTAAGACATACTGTCACTCACCTGTCTTGAGTGACACCGAGAGTCGAGAAAGCCCAGGAAGCGCCACACCATCCCTGGTCACTCACGCCACTCACTCGACCTTGCCATTCACGTTTATTGCGGGCGTCAAAATAACGGGGAATGTGAGAGACATCAGGACGTAGGTGGATTGGATGCATTCTCATTGACTGTTAAAGGGGATCGACTATTAAACTTCTGATTTATCTGGGAAAATGTAGAATATATGCAGGCTAACTCTAAGAAGGGTACATTGATGCTTCTCAAAAGTTCTTGATCCAAAGCACTGGAGCTATTTTTCCTTTCACTGAATCAATTCTCATTACTTCTCATTCCGCAGGTATGAGCTTACTGCATCTTGTTAATTTTTTTTTTGTTTCTGCCACATCAGCTTTTTATTCACAAAGACTGTACAGCTCAAAGATGGAAATACACTCAGCATCACTTTAACACTCCCACCCATCCTTCAGTGTGCAAGCACCTTACTTCCAATCTCCAGTCTGATTAACCGGTTCACTGAATCCCTTAGAAAAGGTTACAGTTCTCACACTGACAACATGTCAATTCATTATTCAAAATACTTCATTATCATTTAATCCTGTTTTTCTTTAAACACTATAAACATCTACGGTCACATCGTACATCTTTGTATGAAATTCACTTTTATTTGTTGATATCTGCGCTCTCTATCTCTCTCTCCTCTCTCTCTCTCTCTCTATCTCTCTCTCTCTCTCTCTCTCTCTCTCTATCTCTCTCTATATCTCTCTCTATATCTCTCTCTCTATATCTCTCTCTCTTATCTCTCTCTCTATATCTTCTCTCTATATCTCTCTATATCTCTCTCTTATATCTTCTCTATCTCTCTATCTCTCTCTCTCTATATCTCTATATCCTCTCTCTCTATATCTCTCTCTATATATCTCTCTCTCTATCTCTATCTCTCTATCTCTCTCTCTCTTGCTATCTCTCTATCTCCTCTATATCTCTCTCTATAATCTCTCTCTATATATCTCTCCTCTATATCTCTCTCTATATATCTTCTCTCTATCATCTCTCTCTCTCTATCTCTCTCTCTATCTCTCCCTCTATCTCTCTCTATCTCTCTCTCTCTATCTCTCTCTCTCTCTATCTCTATCTCTATCTCTCTCTTTCTCTATCTCTCTCTATATCTCTCTCTATATCTCTCTTTATATCTCTCTCTATATCTCTCTATATCTCTCTCTATATCTCTCCCTCTATCTCTCTCTCAAATCTCTCTCTCTATCTCTCTCTCTCTCTATCTTCTCTCTCTCTATCACTCTCTATCTTCTCTATCTCTCTCTTTTCCTTTTAGAAGCTCTTTACAGCATTTAATAATCTACTGCCTATTCCATTCATCCAGCAACTGATACATTGCTTTTCTACTTACCCTTAATAACTGTCATATGCCATGAAGCTGCTTCCTTAGTCCCAAGTAGATTTTAGTAAAACTGCTAAAAAATATTATTTCAGCATTTCTGTTATATAGCTGTTTCAAATGAATTAATTATAAGAACCTTAATACAAATTTTGACTCAAAATATGCATTGATTATACTTATTACAAGATTTTTAACACATTTAAACATTAGAAATAACACACTGGAGTTACCTGGAGAGAGTTCCGGGGGTCAACGCCCCCGCGGCCCGGTCTGTGACCAGGCCTCCTGGTGGATCACCTTTTATTAAGAAATATTTATAAAAAGGGGTATTTCCTGACATACCTTGCAAAGTCAGTAACCAATCGTGTAATCATACATAAAAAGGTAGGTAGAATTTTAATCACTAGAGTAACTGACTTATAAGTGGAATGTTAGACTTGTACACTGCATATTGTGTGTATTCTCTCAATATAAGAATTATAAACAATGTATACTCGGTTTGGAAATTTTGTTGCGAACTGCCTCTAGGCGAGCAGCAAACTCAGCCAATGTTGCTGACACAGACACCCCAGCTGATTCTCCCAGGCTCGCAAATGGCTCATGCAACAATCTCCAATTACTATTGCTGACGTGAGAACATACAAAATGTAGTTAACTCACTTGTTGTAGAGTTAGGTGTTCCCAGACCCCCAGGACACCATGGAGATGAACTTCAATCTCCAGTAACTGTTTGCACTCACCCACAGATTACTACCTACTTCTTCCCCAGAAACTTTGGCCGACTAGCTGCTAGGAATTGTAGATATTCACTGAGGGTGTGCCTGATAAGGACGAGTATCTTATACTTTGGGAAACCGCTCAAGGTTATTTCGTTTCCCCAGCCAAGTATAATTAACGCCGTTTTTTTTGGGCTGTAATCGCGTCACGTCACATCTGCTGTTGGTATTTGAGCTCTGACTGGCGTCTCACTCCATTTGAAATTTGAGTTGCCAGTTCTCTAACTGATATTCTACATTAAACCTAATCCTATTTTAGGTCCTAAAACTGTATTAATAATTCCTACGGTTATTTTCTACTTTGTGTAACTACGTAAATCTTCCTAGGACAAATATTATGTACAAATGTTATGTAAGTATGTGTTAAGGGCTCTTAATGCTTCAGCGCTATAAATGTTTCTTGGCATATTTTGGGAGCCCAAAATAAATTTCCACACTTGGGAGAGGCGTTTATTAAATGTAGTTTTTCTTTGTTAGGTAAAAGAACACATGAGCAACTAATGCGAGATTTAGTTGCACATATGTCCTTTTAAGCTACATATTGTTGGTAATTCTACCAAAATTATTAGATTTTCTTAGTGTGATGCATATTTCTTGAATCAACTATGAATACAATACGACCTGGTTTCAACGTCTCAAATGTCCAGAGAAACCTTTTGCTATAATATAATCACCCTGAGTTTACTCCTTAGAAGAGGTTAACAATATAAAATTAATTTACTGTACACCTAAATTTTTTCTAGTCTGGCGGTGAAAAGGGACTCGGTCTTCCTTTTATATTGCGTTTTGCTGTTCATGGGTGTATGCAACTAATTTAAGGCAGATTCTTCATATTAACTATGTGGATAAAACATTTAGGATTCTAAAAATCATTTGCAAAACCAATATATGCTCAAAGATTACTATAACCAAAAAGAGAGCACATTGAATTAGAGTGATAAATAGTATACATAAGCATGAGAGAAATGAACTGACCAGAGCCTCTGGGTTGAGTGTACCAGTTCGGAGCACCAGACCTTCCCGGGCCTTCCTCCCCCAGAACTTTGAGTAGTTGGTGGCTCTCCAGCCATACTGACGCTGATGCAGGTTCACTCTCTCGATCACGTCCTCCTCGATCATACATCTGTCCTCCTCACACACCAGATCTTTTCCCAAACACTTACTGGTGACAGAAAATGAGGTATTGAGAAATAATTAAGATTGATTTGTAACAGAGAAGGAATCAAATAAAATAAAATCAAACCAAGTTTATTCTCTGTAAGGATTACAATGCTGAGTTTACAGAATTTGGATATTGTGTGGTTTACATGTTTTAAAATACTAATTACAGAGGGGGCCACTAGAACACCTAGCATGTCTAGGCATTTCGGGCTAAATACTAGTTTGTGAGTTTAGCAATGTGAATGCTTTTGTTTTTGCACAATACATAGTTTCAGTATTGGAGTATCACAGGCCAACTTATGACTAGTTAGGATTCATTATTTTAAGATTAAGATTGATATTTCTGTGTTCATGGTCAAATGGGCGAGTGAGTGTAAGTGTGAACCACCAGGTGGTATTCATGTAATTAGTTGACAGGGTGTATCAGGGAGATAAGATGTTTTCTAATGGTAGTTTTGAAGGTGATGAATGCGTCTGCAGTTCTAGAGTTTTCAGGGAGGGTGTTCCAGATTTTAGGGCCTTTGACATACATTGAATTTTTGTAAAGGTTTAGTCGGACACGGGGAATGTCAGAGAGGTTTGTGTGTGGTGTTATGGCTGTGGGTTCTGTCACAACTATCAAGAAAGCATTTTAGGTCAAGGTTAATATTGGAGTTTAAGGTCCTGTAGATGAAGAGGGGTAAGGGAGGGAAGAGGAATAGAAGATGGGAGAGGAGACAGGAGGGCAGGGGAAGGAAGGTTGGAGGTTAGAGAGTGAATGAGAAAGAATAGAAAGGGGAAGCAGAAGGAGAAAGAGGTTGAAGGAAAGTGAAAAGAAGGGTAGGGAGGAGAGAAATGGGAAGGAATGGAAAGGAAGGATGGAGAGGAATGGGAGCAGAGATGAGGAGGGAAATTAGAGGGAAGTTTGACATAAAGGAGGGAAGGGAAGGGGTACAGTAGAGAAGAGAGTGGAGGGAGAGAGGTATGGGAAAGTAGTGAGCAGGAGGTAGGAGAGAAGAGGGAAGGAGGGTGCCTGAGGGAAAGATAAACAGAGAGAGGATGGGAGGGGTGAGTGGGCATTAGGAGATGGAATGAGAAGGGAAGTGAAAGCAGGGAGCTGGAAGAAGATAGAAGAGAGAGGGAAATGTGAGATGCTTGAAAACAGGAGGGAGCTGAAAGGAGGAGACAAGGGAAGTGGGGAAAGAGATAGACGAGGAAAGGAAAGGGAAGAAGGAGGAGGGTCACTGGAAGGTAGGGAAGTGGAAAGGAAGGTGAGGGGAAATGAATGGAGTAGGGAAAGAGGGATTGGGAAAGAGAAAGATTGAAAAGGGAAGAGGAAGGGGAGAAGGAGAGAAAAGAACTAGAAAGAGACAGAAGAGAGGGAAGGGGAGTTGAGAAAGAGAAGAGTGAAGAGGGGAAGAGCAAGGAGGGTTAGGGAGAGATAGAGGGGAAGGAAGGGGGAGGAATACGGAGGGGAGGGGAGGGGAGAGTATTGGCAATTATGAAAACAATAGCAATATTACATTAAGTATTGTTTAATAAGGAGACGGTCACTGACAGCTGACCGACGCCACAAAACAACACTCAAGTAACATTATTACAATAATGTTCGAGTAACATTATTACAATAATGTTCGAGTAACATTATTACAATAATGTGGCAGCAGTAAAGCAGAGGTGTCATACAGCACCAGAAAACATTACTCTCCTTTCCACAGTAGTTTACACTAGGCTTTTTCAGAGATGTACAGAATATGAACACTGAAAGTAGCCTGACTCACAGTGTACATAGGGAAATTATGAATTTTAATCAATTTCTTAATGAACATGCATTTCAGTCGCTGCACAATTCGAGAAAGGTATCCCTGTACATTATTATTATTATAATTAAAAAGAAGCGCTAAGCCACAAGGGCGTATCCCTGTACAGCCTCTCCTCACTTAGCGACGTACTCGTTTACCGATGCCTCAGACTTACGACGGGCTATCTGACCAGTATTCATACCTAAATAATGTATATTAGAGCTGATTTCCTCTACTCTATTTCAATATACAGTATGGCCCCGCTTTACAGCGTTCCTCTAATATGGCGATGTCAAATTATGACCAAAATTTGCTATACGGCAAACGGTCTTTCAAATACAGCGGGCCCCACCCGGTTTGTTTACATTCTCCGTGACCACATCTATTATGTCAGGAAACTTTCCAAAATCTCAAGTGTTTTAAAGTTACTGTGTATTTTATATGTACTTTGACAATTATACTTGTGTACCTGTACCTAAATATACTTATACACTGTACTGGTGTGCAGGTACACATTAAAATCGCTAAGTCTCTCTACTCATGATGCCAATACTACGTAATAATAATCACTCTTGGGCACTCTTCGGCATTTTACATTAATATAGGCATTTTCATTAATCCATCTATGGTATTTTCCTCAAAATTATACATGAAACCCGTTACATAGCGTATAAGCATGACACATACACTCTCATTATTATTATTATAATCAAGGGGGAAGCGCTAAACCCGGAGGATTATACAGCGCCTGGGGGGGGGGATGTGGAAGGCATTCAGGCTTAATTCGGGGAACTGGAGCACAGATCCAATTCCCTAAATCAAGAGCCCCTCACCAACATCAAGGAACCTTCCTTGAGGGGCATACACTCTCAGAATAAATATTCACGCAAATATGAGATTTGTTTACGAAGCGGCTGTGTAGGTAGTGTCGGAAGACTTACGTTTTTTCTAGTCAAACTGGGGGATAACTGTAGAAAAATATTCTTTTCGTATGCCTTCACTCTATATATAGCAATTCACGACCCTTGTGGGTTTAGTGCTTATAATAATAATAATAATAATAATAATAATAATAATAATAATTGTGGAAAATTTTTTGATTTTCCGAAACTATAGTGCCTAATAGGTGTTTAATGTGTCTATATGGGTCAAAAATCCACAAAGGAGGAGACCAAACAGAGTTGAATAACTATAGGCCAATATCCAACTTACACCCTCTCTCAAAAATCTTCGAAAAATTAATTCATAAACGAATCTACTCCTACCTTATCTCCCAAAACATACTCAACCCCTGCCAATTTGGATTCAGGCCTAATAAAAATACTAATGATGCTATTATACACATGCTAGAACATATATACACTGCAATAGAGAAAAAAGAAGTCCCACTGGGGATCTTCATTGACTTACGTAAAGCTTTTGATACAGTTGACCATGACTTGCTCCACGTAAAATTATCACACTATGGTATAAGAGGGCACTCCCTCAACTACCTCAAGTCATACCTCAGCAACAGAAGCCAATATGTGTACGCAAATGGGGCAAACTCTTCTGCACAACCAATTACAGTTGGTGTCCCACAGGGGAAATGTCCTTGGCCCTCTTCTCTTTCTCCTATACATAAATGACCTACCAAATGTTCTCAATTACTCAAACCCACACTATTTGCTGATGACACAACATACGTCTTCTCCCACCCGAGCCCAGTCACGCTAGCCAATACTGTAAATACCGAATTACAGAAATATTCCTGGATGAGTACTAACAAACTTACACTAAACATTGACAAAACCTACTTCATTCATTTGGTAACAGAGCTACAGATGTCCCTCTTAACATAATGATAAACGGATCACCTATCACAAAGCTAACAGAGGGAAAATTCTTAGGAATCCACCTTGATAATAGACTCAAATTTCATACACATATACAACAAATTTCTAAGAAAATTTCCAAGACTGTAGGCATACTATCGAAGATACGGGACTAATGCTCCACAGTCAGCCCTCCTGGCCCTATATCACTCTCTTATTTACCCTATCATCTAAAGGAATTTTTTGCATGGGGCTCAAAAACAAGTAACCATCTCAGACCACTAATTAAACCCAAAAAAAGGCTGCAGTTAGAATGATAACAATTCTCACTACAGGCAGCACACTCCACCAATATTCAATACACTCAACCTACTCACCATACAAAACTCCATACTTATACTGCACCCCATACATACATAGAACACTCAACTCTGATATTAAAACCCCCCCTCAAACATCTCCTTGCCAACCTCAAAGAACACATGACCATAACACAAGGCACAGTCACTCTTTGATATTCCTCGTGTCCATCTCACGCTATGCAAAAACTCAATGCACATAAAAAGGCCCCTA